GCAGATTGCCACAAAGGCGAGAAATACTTCCCTATTCTATTTACCATTTATCCAAACACTATCTTAACTATTCAGAATAAATGAGGTTATCATTTGTGTTGATATGTTGAAGGATGCATACCTAGTTAAAAATACCGCCCCGTCATATTTTGGGTTTTCCTTGCATGTGTCTTTCGTTATCCACTGCTGCCACTTGCAGAAACTTTCCAGCGTCCTGTCGTCATGATGGGTGATTGAGAGGCCTTTCTATCGAGTAGAAAGGCAAAAGATAATAATTAGAGTTTAAAAGCAAGCCTGAGTTTAAGAGATTGCGAAATGTTCTTTATAAAAGAGAGAGAGGAAAAAAGTGTAATAAAAGGATAAACACAGCATCACATCAGAAATTAAAATCAGCCTAACCTCTCCACAACGGCCACGTTGGCGACAGAGGAGACAGTCTTTTTCGGAATGGTAGAACCTTTTTACCCACAAAAACATACGCGGTGTGGTATAATAATACGAAACACAATCAAATATAATGTATCGATATGAGAGACAAAAACTGATGTACGTTCAGAATAAAAGACCTCTAAGAACATTAGAAATTTTTGTTTCTCTCTAATGAATTAGTGCGTGAAGGACAGTCTGAAAAAGTATGCTTCACCACTCCTCAGTCTTTTATCACTCGACGTGACAGAATGCATATACGTCGGAGATTGCTTTAATAGCCGTTGACATTGTTAAGGGTTCGTCGAGTGGTCATTTTAGAGAGGCTAAAATAGCAGTGAATACAATTACCCTCGGCGAGACGAAAAAAGTCGCCGTTTTGAAGCACTGGCCGTCATTGAAGGTTCGACTGTAACTGTGTTGTATTGTTGCACGTTCTTACTTAACAGGCATATTGTACAGAAGCATAAGCTTGGACACTTCGATATTTATCTTCGTCCCAATACTTGGGTCTCGGTACAAGTCGGCCACCTTACAAAAAAAAAAAATTAAATTATTTTCAGCTTATCATTGGAAGCGTCAATTTTGAAAGCCACGACTGCATAAAGGAACTCAACGCCTTCATTGTCATCCGTATTCATCTTTTATAATTAAGAAGATAGAAGAAACAAACGTACGTTGGTCAGTCAAAACTATGAAAACTTTGAATTTCTAAAATTTCTTCCATTTAGAATTTGAAAAATATCTTATTAAACAAACTTGCTCGGTCAATTAGGCAAGATGTGGCCCTCGGTTTTTTTTGTTTTGTTTTGTTTTAGTGTTTTCGTTTTGGTGTTTTTGCTTTTTTTTCTCAAGTTTTAAAGGACCTCAGCTTCGTCTTGATCCGTAGGAGCCGAGAGAAAAGAAAGAGGTCCATTAATAATAATAATCATTATAATCATAATAATAATAAAACTGACTGACTAATAACCAATGAACAAGCTTGCCCAATGGCGTATATATCTATCTCACCATATTCATGACGGTTAGAACATATTCCTCCACGGACTGATTGCCATGGAAACTTATCATTTCCCTTTCAACAACCACCAAGAGCTGGACTGTGATCTCATCATCCACTGAACGACGCTGGCGACGGATTGCTTCTCGCCAAAATTGCCTCTTTGCGTGTTTGAGATTCCTATGAGCTGAGGAAAAAAATTCAGCAGATATTATGTTGACAAAACCACATGAGTGAATTTTGATCGTTTCGATCAGACATAGTACAGTAAGGAGGGGTGATAGACTACGAAACTGGTCGGTATGAACCAAATAAGGAAACATCGGCTGGTGGGGCAGATTTAATATGTTAAGAACCCCTGACCGAGCATAATTTTTACAGATTGCGACTGTATCAACGAATGGGAGGTTTCTGTTGGTTACTTCGTTCAAAACTACGGCTACTAAACGTTGTACATGATCGGGTTCAAAAAACCTTACAAACACTTCAACCAGGAAAGGTTCCTA